TACACACTCTAGGGACACCAGAGATGTATTTTACAAAAATTAAAAGGGGCATAACAGGTCTCCTTTAAAAGTAAAAAATCATTTTGGGTCATACAATATAATTTTCGCCCATTGCCTATTGGTTTTGTGCTCCATGATCACATATTTAAGATGCTAGTAACATGTCTGTGAAAAGGGTCTGTTATTAAAGCAAGCCACTAGCCCTAAATATTAATTTGGGCTTTTTAATTTTATGCACCATTTGAGTTACGGACACCAAGGATGCTTCAAATCGAGCTTTTTCTCGAAGCGTGCAATTCATTTCAAGCAGTCGAAACTTTTCAACTTGGCAGATGATGAAGTGAAAATCCCACAGCCACGAGTTACTGATTCCTTTTTTTATTTCTTCGCACTCCTCCACGCTAAGCTCTCAGGCAGAGGTGATTTATGATGATTGGTGTGCAGATCTTTATGAACAGAGATGTGTCAGGCTGATTATTGATTTCTCCTCAGCAAGATAATGGATGTCCAGCTTAGCTGCTGTTTAAAGTCTTAAATACCAGCAGGATTGATAGCGACTGTCTGCGAGTGGACAACTCCTGCTCTTTAAAGGGAAAAATTAACACGTGTACTTGAGTTTTCTCCCTTTGGCCATAGTGAAGAGATAGTAAAGTCTTACTATTCTTCATTATGCTCGTGCTACACTGCAGACTCACCAGAAAGGCCTTCATCCCGTCCTGTTTGGGCTTTCTGAGGGTCCCAGTGTATGCCAGGCTCTCTGTAAACTGATGATGAACCAAATGCACACAGTTTACAGGGGTTTCCTCGTGTTTCCCTTCCCGAATCTGCACTGTTTTCACATGCTGGAGCGGTTGATTCATGATCCACATTAATATTAATCTGCATCATAGTCAACAGACTCCAGATTGGTTCAAAGTAAGACATAAAGAAGTAAATAAATAAAGTAATTTTCACTTTTGAAAGTGAAAAGACACAAGGGTCGGAGATTGAATGCTTGCCTCGCGCTCCCAGAAAAGGTTTTCTCCTGTGTTGCATCAGACAACTGTATTTATTTCACACAGCTGTGGTCGGATCCAAAGGCCAAAGTAGTTCTGGAGGTAAAAATAGCAGAAGACCCTTGTGCAGAGAGAGATGGAATTATTACATACTAGGCCATCACAAAAAAAAGGTTTGATTTAAAGGCCAAACTATGCTCTACATAAGGATGTGAACACAGGGATCTTGATTCCACACATGGTGCTCTAAAATAAAAATGCATATTATGTATATCAATGTACACTGTTAAGAGTGTGTTGCTTTCTTAGAAGAAGGTCACTGGTTCGAGCCCTGTCTGGTCCAGTTGGACTTTCCATGTTTGCATGTTCTCCCGATGTTGGCGAGGATTTCCTCAGTCCAAAGACATGCGCTATATCAAATCAAATCACTTTTATTGTCACATCAGCAGCACGTGTGTTATGATGAGTGAAAAGCTTAGGTGCTGGCTCCAGACAGTGCAAAATACAGACAGTGCAAATACAATGGCAGTGCAAAATACAGACAGTGCAAAATACAACAGCATACTCCCCAAAAAAACAGGACAATGTAAATTTGACAGCTATATGTACAATGAGTATGTGTACACATAGTTGTAGGCAGTGTTGTTTTAAGTATGGGTTAGTTAAAGTGCAGTGCATGCTACATATTGATGGTGTGCAGTGAGGGGTATGGAACAGTCTGTGTGGGGTTTGTTAAGTGTTCATCAGCCTGATAGTCTGAGGGAAGAGACTTTCCTTCAGTCAGCTGGTGCATGACCGGATGCTGCGGAACCGTCTGCCAGACGGTAGCAGAGAGAAAAGTCTATGACTTGGGTGGCTGGAGTCGCTGATGATTCTCTTGGCTTTCCTCATGCACCGCCTGGTGTAGATGGAGGGCGGGAAGATCACCTCCTGCTACGCGTCCAGGAGTTCGCACAATCCTATGTAGGCCTTTGCGATTGCTGCTGGTGCTGTTTTCATACCAGGTGGTGAAACAGCCAGACAGGATGCTCTCCACATTGCAGGTGTTGAACGAGCGGAGGATGTGGAGGCTCATTCCAAACCTCCTGAGACGCCTGAGGTGAACTGTGTAAGCAAAATTGGCCATAGTGTATAAGTGTGTGAATGTGAGAATATGGGTGTTTCCCAGTTCTGGGTTGCTGCTGGAAAGGCATCCACTGCGTAAAACATATGCTGGAATAGTTGGCGGTTCATTCCGCTGTGGTGACCTTCGATAAATAAGGGACTAAGCCGAAATGAATGAATGGATGAATAAATTTCAACATAATTAACCTTGCTTAAAACATTAAGTTAAGTTTGCATTACTTAAAAATTAAAGTTGGACCCTGATTGACTTATTAAAATTTCCAATCAATATAGGTAAAATTTGCATAAAAAAACATTAGTTGGTTGGTATGACATCATTTTGTACATTTTTATGTGTTTTCAATAATTTACGTGCCTTTATTGCACTAATATAGTAATTACTAATACTAATATAGTAGTTACTTTCAAAATATCTTCAGGCAAGTTAAGCATCACACATTTGAATTAAATATATTTAATAAGTTTTTCTCTTCTTAAAACTGTTATATGTAAATGATTTGTTGTTTACTGAGGGGACTTAAAATACATTATTTATGTAAAATTGTTTTTTTAAGTGTTCTACCGATCGCCAATTTACTTAATTATTTTTTTTATTTAATTAATTTACCAAAAATTGTTTTAAATTATTACTTTATTTTTATTTTTTACTTTCATTGATGCAATTTTTTGACTAAGTCACCTTTTTCTTGGGCAAACGAGGGTGTCAGCGGGAACTTAAAGTCTTAAAATGTCTTAAATGAAAAGAAAAATTCATTGAAATATTGTGTTGTAGGACTTAAATCATTTTAAACAGGTTTTAATTTTCCATGTAAAGTTGCTCAATCTGGCCAACATTCTTCTAATCCCCAAAAATCCAACACAATAAAACTTTGGAGAAAAGTTTTATTAATTAGCTCTATTTACCAACATGGTTTAATTGTCTTCCTTACAGTAAAATTTGTTTAAAATGCTGAGGACACTGACCTTGACACACTGTTAGTTTTTTTTTTTTTTTATAGTTTTAAAACCTCTAATTTTTTAAAGGAACGTTCTATGAAGGTAAAAATTGCATGCACACAATTATTGTTTGCTTGTTTTAACACATTATTTAAAACATTTTGCTAAGAAATAACTAAATTAGGTGTATCATTCCACTGTGGCAACCCCTGATTAATAAACCTAAGCCCAAAAGAAAATGAATAAATGAATAAATACCTAAATTAGATTTTGTTTTATGGAGAAAGTGTAGCTATTTTCCAACCTTAACGTTTAGCTCTGTAATAGTCTGAAAGTTCATTCATAATGGTCTTACAAAGGTCTTTCAAAAGTGTTAATCATTTAGCTTGCTCAAACCTGCAGAAACACTTTAAACTGTACCGGCTACATTGTCAAAATTATTCATAAATTAGCAGTTTTCCTATTTATTTATGCTTTTGAATTGGATTATGGGAGCTTGATCTTTCTTCCAACAACTTTTAACCTTGAAACGTTCCAAAAAGTGACTTTTATGAACATTTTTAATAGCTTAAAGTGATCTATTGTCTAGGTTGTTGTTGTAAATTATGGTACACAAACTATGTAATAAGTTGCCAGTACATTCTCTGTTAGGTTAGAGACTTATGCCTAGTTCAGACTGCGTGATTTTAGCCCCGATTTTGGCTCGCCGACAGGTTTTGAGAAATCGCCGACAAATGCCTGAAATCACAGGCAAATCGCTGCTCGTGCACGTGTGTGACAATCACACAGTATGAACTTTCAAAGACGCGATCTGAGAGAATTGCCGATGAGTTCTTCAATGCCTGCGAGATATTTGGCGTGCTGAATATCTGGAGCTGTCGGCGATTCAAATCATGCCGTATGAATTGAGTTTTGACTGAAAATAACATCAGCGATCGCCTACAGCCAATGAGAGAGCAGCTTTCCCTTGCGTGTGCGTGTGTGTGTATACCTGCTGCAGGCCAGCGGGAGGCTGGGGAGAAGTTAAAAGCGCTCTTTTTCGGTTTATTTGGACCCACGAAATGGAGGAAAAACTAGTGGAGGTTTGACAGGACTCAGGAGCAACCGTGTCTGTTTGACGTTTCATACATAAAGAAATTAGTTTATTATCAACGTTGAGGAGAAATGGCTAATTCCCTTTAAACCCAGGTAAGCAAACATGTACATGTTCTACGCCATTAAAGGCTTCTTTCTTATTATGTAGTTAACAACAAAAGATATACGACGTGTTTTTGGCTATGAGACGTAGTTTGGACGAAGTTGTCGGCGATTCTCCCTATAGTAAAGTCATACAATGTGAATGTCCCTGTACCTGATCTATCTTGCAGTGTAAACAAAGCAGCGGCGAAACACTAGCCCAGATAGTCATGCAGTGTGAAAACATCTGTGACTTGACTACTTTGAAAATCATGCAGTCTGAACTCGGCATTAAATGTTGTTTCTTATACCATTATATAATTTCAAACTATCAAAATATCATAAAAAGTCACTTTGTTAAACTGTAGAGTTGAAATTTCAACATCATAACTCATCAGAGCAGAGATCAAGCTCCCATAATCCAATTCACAACATAAATAAACAGAAAACCGATCATTTTTACAGTGGACCAAATTTACATATATAGAGCACAGAAACTCCCTGAATACTGAGGAGTAACTGGAAACGAGCATCATGTGTGTAAATCAAGGCTGCACTCTTTTGTGTTCACGCATAAAGCACATTTCTGGCCTGAAGCGGCAAATGTAAAGAATTAACACACAGTGAGGACAGAAGAGCCAAACATCTTCTGGGAAGATTGTACATGCCACTTCTTTTGCTCCTGTTCATCTTTCTCCCTCTCTCTATCTATCTCTTTCTCACTAACAGTTCTCTTTAATCTTATTTGCATTCGTATTACCTCACCAGGTGGTACACCAATCAGAGGTAAGAATGCTGAAAACAGAAATGTCCAAAAATCACCCCAAAGTGTCGCTCCATCACCCCGTCCCACATCCTCTCTCATTCTGGAGTCTTTTTGTCTTCCTCCGGCCTCGTCTCTGTGCATGAACCTCTGCTTGTCTGTCTCACTAATGGACATCTGATTCAAGCAAACATGGCAGGATAAACAAAACCACCAGATACCTTGCTTTCTTTACAAAGGGGGAGTTCATTCATGGGTGAATCCCACAAGACAAGTCGAAAGCATCCAACGCAGGCTCATTGTGAATGCGTACCCCTGTATGCATTTCTGGAGAGCGCAAATTATATAGCCAGAGCTATGAATGACTGCATTTCGTCTTAAACACGAATGCTACGGGGTGGTATGACGCTGCTGATGGTATGATCGCTTGTTTCCATGTGGACAGCTTTTCTGCTGTCTCTTTTTTTCTAAATTGCTTTTGAAAACACTATCGGTTGGGTTTAGAGAAGTGGGTGAGCGGGTCAATCGGTGCCTTTAAAAACACTATCGATTGGTTTTAGGAAAGGGGGGTGGGGTTATAGGTCGATCGGTCAGTCAATCAGTTGGCAGCGCCCACTGGTGCATTTATGCTAGAATAGCAGACGCGAATGGCACTTGTGAGAGAAATTTGAGATCTGAAAAAATGCACACAGCGGCCTTTAGTGAATTCATAAAAAGAAAAACTGCAAAAATAAAAAATAAATCAACGTAGCTCCTGGGACGTATTTCGAGCTCTCCAAAAAATGTATATATAGGGGTATGTATCCATAATGAGCCTGGGTTGAAAGCATCATATTTCAACAGCAAATCTGAAGACAGTTTATGTAGTTTTCTATAGTTTTGTTATTTATTATTTTACCATCTCAGATAGTTTTTAGTTAGATTTTGCACTTACTTATTTTTTTGGGGAAGAGAAATACCATTCCAAATAATATTGCAGGATTCATAAGTGGGTCGACGATCTAAACAATCATTTTTATGACCCTTTTTGTACATTAGAATGCATCCTGTTTATTTTTCTCACTTAAACCGTTTTTGCCCTATCAAACAATTGACTGTAATACATTTTTAGCTTGATTTATAGAGAATACAATGTCATTCAGTTAAATAATAGCAAAACATATTGCATATAAACAGAAAAACTACTTTAATTACATAATAAAAGACTCAAAAATACCTAATACTCACAATGATTTAAACGTGTTTAAATCATTACATTTTCTGAAACCTCTTCCTATATAATCTATAATAACTTCAATAATAAGTAATGTTTTTTTATTTATATATATATTTTTTATTATTTATTTATTTATTTTTTTTTTTAATTATACAGTGCATCCAGAAAGTATTTTTTTTTATGTTAGCCTTATTCCAAAATGTATAAAATTGTATTTATTTCCTCAAAATTCGACACACAATACCCCATAATGACAATGTGAAAAAAAGAGTTTTTGAAATTGCTGTAAATTTATTAAAAATAAAAAAAGCTGAACAATTACATGTACATCAGTATTCAGAGCCTTTGGCGTAAAGCTCTAAATAAAGCCCAGGTACATTCTACTTCCACTGATCATTCTTGAGATATTTCAGCAGCTTCATTGGAGTTCACCTGTGCTTAATTCAGTTGATTGGACATGATTTGAAAAGGCGTACACCTGTCTATATAAGAACCCAGGGTTGGTGGTGCTGTCAAAGCCCAAACCAAGCATGGAGACAAAGGAATTGTCTGTAGAACTTCGAGACAGGATTGTCTCGAGTCACAAGGCTGGGGAAGGTTACAGAAACATTTCTGCTGCTCTGAAAGTTGCAATGAGCACAGCGGCCTCCATCATCCGTGAGTGGAAGATGTTTGGAACCACCAGAACTCTTCCTAGAGCTGGCCGGCCATCTAAGCTGAGTGATCGGGGGAGAAGAGCCTTAGTCAAGGAGGTGATCAATAACCCGATGGTCACTCTGTCTGATCTCCAGCGTTCTTCTGTGGAGAGAGGAGAACCTTACAGAAGGACAACCATCTGTGCAGCAATCCACCAATCAGGTCTGTATGGTAGAGTGGCCAGACGGAAGCCTCTCGGACGGAAGTACATCTGAAGTACTCTCAGACCGTAAGAAACAAACTTCTCTGCTCTGATGAGACAAAAATTTAACTCTTTGGAGTGAATACAAGATGTTACGTTCGGAGAAAACCAGACATCGCTCATCACCAGGCTAATACCATCCCTACAGTGAAGCATGGTGGCGGCAGCTTCACAGTGCTCTTGACCTCAGACTGGGGCCTTCCAGCAGGACAATGACCCAAAGCACACCGCCAAAATATCAATGGAGTGACTTCACAACTACTCTGTGAATGTCCTTGAGTGGCCCAGCCAGAGCCCAGACCTAAATCCTATTAAACATCTCTGGAGAGATCTGAAAATGGCTGTACACCGTCGCTTCCTATCCAACCTAATAGAGCTTGAGAGGAACTGCAAAGAGGAATGGGCAGAAATTCCCAAAGACAGGAGTGCCAGGATTATGGCGCCATATCCAGAAAGACTTGAGGCTGTAATCGCTGCCAAAGGTGCATCAACAAAGTCTTGAGCAAAGGCTGTGAATACTGATGCACACGTGATTTTTCAGCTTTTTTACTTTTTAATAAATTTGAAACAATTTCAAAAAACATTTCTCACATTGTCATTATGGGATAATGCAGAGAATTTTAAAGAAATAAATTAATTTAATCCATTTTTAAAGGCTGTAACATAAAAAAGTGAAAAAAAGTGCAGTGCTATCAATACTTTCCAGATGCACTGTACATATATATAGTTGGTTATATGTGTTTATGTGTGCTATAAGTGTATTAACGGGTCATTCGTCAGTATTTCACGCTATTGGAGCGAGGTTAATGCTCAGTTTTCTAATGAGGTCTCATGCACTCGCAGTCTCTGATTATGTTTCTATTGTTAATGCACATATTTACTATAAACCCATCCCATAATGCATTTCAGGAATACTTCTGAAATACACTGAAAGCATTGTTTCTTTTGGTTGTCTTCGTGTGCTTCCATTATCCACAGTTTGCATGATGTATGTCACATCACGCAAAAAAAAAAAAATAAATAAATAAATAAACAGCACTTCCATACTAAAAACCCAATAATTGCAAAATATCTGTCTATAAATCTTGTGTGTGTGTTGTCAAAGATGAACTGAATGCTGGAACCAGGTAAGTGTGTGAGGGAGATGTTATAATCTGTCCAAGGTAAATAAATCTCCAGTATTAGTCCACCTGGATCTTCTTTTGTTTTCCGTGGATGTGTTGAAGACGTATTGACAGTAATTGCAGCCGCTGTATTATGTCTTGATAGATTTACTCTCCAAGAGCGCGGCTTTGTCTCGACTAGCAGAATAGCAGAGCTTACACACTGTGACGGATATAGCTGGCGTAGCCCGCAGCTCTTTTTACTTGCCACAATGAATAAATAACTCAGTTTGCTTTAGATTTATTGAATTGCGCAGTGAAAGATGTTGCTCTTTTCCTTCAGTATTTAGACAGACGAGAAAGGTCATATGCCAGCTGAGTGTTAGTCCATGTGTCCGTGCTGTTTAAGAAGAAATACAGTTGAAGACTGAATTATTAGCCGTCCTGTATATTTTTCTATTAGCACATTTCTAAACGTAATAGTTTTAAAAACTCATTTCTAATAACTGATTTGTTTTATCTTTGCCACGACGACAGCACATAATGTTTGACTAGATATTTTTCAAGATACTAGTGTTCAGCTTAAAGTTACATATAGGGTGTACTCACACTAGGCTCAGTTGTCTTGAGCTGTCCCCAGGCGTGATTGTCTCCTCTCCCATCTCCCGCACTCACATCGCATTTTTCACCTTCCGAGCTCGATCTCACTCACTTAGGGTGCTTTCACACCTGTGAATCGATTCATTTGTTCCGAAACAGAGATTACAATTGTTACATTGTTGCTTTTTGTTCTTTGTGCGGTTCGCTTTCACATGCAAAGTTTCTAAACAGACCAAAATAGCTAAAACAAGTCACGTGTGAGTAAACTCTCCTCACATTGGTCAGAGTTTCACGGCTTATTTTGAGTCCCGCTCAGTTTTCACGGGGGGTGGTGGTTTGACAGGGTACGTGCAACGTGTCTGAAAAGCGATGGAGGATGCACTAGGGAGGTGTGAGAAGGGTGCGTGATGTATTTGAAGACTGGGAGGGAAACACAAGATTATTACTCATTTGCGGGGGTCTGGGAGTCTCTGTGCATTTGCAGGAGATTCCCGGAACTTCCGGGAGACTTGAGATGTCTTGAATGACCTTCCACCCTACTCATAATTCTCTCTTCATATAGCCGTATGCCTATTATATATGTATAAAACACTGTGATATAGCCGGGCTCGGATGGTACCGCTTTCTTACCACAATCGATCCGCTCCAGAGTTCGTTTCAATCGATCTCGGACCAATTGTTTTGGCGCAGATCCAAACGCGATTGCACAAACTAACCGGGCAAACAAGACAGGTTTCGAATCAAAGTCTAGGTGTGAAAGCATCCTTAATCGATAATGCGTCTGATCAGTTTTGAAGATTATTCATTCATTGATTTTCTTGTCAACTCAGTCCCTTTATTAATATGGGGGTCACCACAGCAGAATGAACCGCCAACTTATCCAACACGTTTTTACGCAGCAGATGCCCTTCCAGCTGCAACCCATCTGTGGGAAACATCCACACACACTCATTCACACACTCATTACAGACAGTTTAGCCTACCCAATTCACCTGTACCACATGTCTGTGGGGGAAACACTACAAGTGTACCATGCTAAAGCCCAACCGAACTTCGCTCTGGCACACCTCTTTCAACAGGGCCAGGTCCGGCCAACTAAATCACACCTGGGCTGATTCAAATCACTCATACTTGTCAAACGAATGGGGAAATGGGAGTCAGACGCGCCTGGGCACTGTTCGGATAGCCAAGTGAAAGTATACCCTTAAAGACTTAATTAGGTGAAGTTCGGGTAATCAGGCAAGTCATTGTATAACAGTGGTTTGTTCTGCTGATAATATTGACCACGAAATTGTTTTCAAAAAAATTAAGAACTGCTTTCATTCTAGCCAAAATAAAACAAATAAGACTTTCTGCAGAAGAAAAAATATTTTAGGAAATACTGTGAAAAATTCCTAGCTCTGTTAATTAACGTTTGGAAAATATATTTAAAAAAGTGACTAATAATTGTGACTTCAACTGTATGTTGTTTACTTCTGGCCGCCTCTGTTTGTGCGTCGTGTGTGATTGTGCGTGTTGTGTTTGCAGGAGCGCTGCAGATCGAGAACAGCGAGGAATCAGACCAGGGCAAGTATGAATGTGTGGCGGTGAACAGCGCGGGAACTCGATACTCGGCTCCTGCAAACCTCTACGTCAGAGGTAAGATCTTCTGGAGGATCCAAAACCTGTCCTGTTTACCTTTATTCTACTTTCAAACAGGTGTTTCTTCAGCCAGAAGAGGAGCTGACACTTAAAACACACACACACACACACTTCTCTCTTTTAGCACCCAATGTCTTAATAGAAACACACCGCAGTTCTGAGGCGGATGCTGCACAGAGGCACTTTAGCTTGAATGAGGGGATTGCTGAATCTCAAATCAGTTCTTTGAAATGAAAATTAATCATTTTAATTAATTAAAGTGTCTCAGACTTTGCTGTGAAATTATAAGATGATCTGTATTATTAGAAGTAATGTAAGATTATTTGCACACATCATAATCGTTGACCACAAATCTAGTCAGAAGTGGAGATTTGGAAATTTAGAAACATTTTGATTTATACTATGATAGAATACGACAATATTTGGTGGAGATACAACTACGTGAAGTTCTGTAATCTGAAGGCTCATACACACCGGGACACTTTTCGTTTGCGTTTATAGTCAGCGTTATATAATAATATATAATAATAATTTATGTATATAAAAAAAAAATAATAATAATAATAATAAATTGCATAATAATAATAATAATAATAATGATAATAATGATAATAATTTGTTTAACAATAAAAATAATATATACTGTATAATGAGTACACCCCCTGATTAATTTCTCAGTCAATATACAGTATTTAACAATAATAATATTATAAATAATAATAAGAATTTACATAATACTAATTTACATAATACTAATTTACATAATACTAATTTACATTATACTAATTGACATAATATTAATTCACATAATAATAATAATAATAATAATAATAATAATAATAATAATAATAATAATAATAATAATATTAAAATAAAAAATAATAATAATAATAATAATAATAATAATAATAATAATAATAATAATAATAATAATAATAGTAGTAGTAGTAGTAGTAGTAGTAGTAGTAGTAATAATAAAAAGAATTTATAAAACAATAAGAATAACATAAAATGTATAATGAGTACACCCCGTTATTACTTTCCCATTCAATATACTGTATTTTAACAGTTATAATAATAATAATAATAATAATAATAATAATAATTTACATAATACTTTTTTACATAATACTAATTTACATTAATAATAATAATAATAATAATAATAATAATAATAATAATAATAATAATAATAATAATTTATATAACAATAAGAATAATATATACTGTATAATGAGTACACCCCCTTATTAATTTCACAGTCAATATACAGTATTTTGGCAATATATTTTGGCACATTCAAATAAAACAGTTTCAATAAACCATTATATTCATTAAAATAAGAGTGTGGTCACGTAATATTTGATGGAATAGAAACATAATACAATTAATTTGATTTCATATTTTTCCCTAACATATTAGTTTCGCTGTACTTTTGTTATAGTAGATTAGATTCAGTTTTAGCTTTTGGTACTGACTAATCTAATGCATTTACACCAATATCCCGAACACTGGAAAAAAAAAAATCTGAGATGATTCCTTGGATTTAAAATTTTTGTTTTAAGATTAAGATTAAGAATTTATTTGGGTTTAATTTAAATAAACAATTTGAGTTGAACATTATAACATTTAATTAGTTTATTTAAATTCAACCTATATAAATGTTCAGTGTATAGCATGCTATAGAAAGTAGATCTGTAAAGCTAGATCTGTAAAGGGTGTACTCATTTATAAAACTAAAATATTTAAGAGTATGTACATTAACACATATACATTAGCAAGGACATTTTGGGCTGATTCATTGGGTCACTGATCGAAGGATCTGATTCTCTTACACAAAATAAGCTTCTTAACTACTATACTTTGACATTATAATTGTCTTATTATAAATTCAATGTGATTATTGATGATACACTGTGAAAAAATTGTCACTTTAAATTTTGTTGTTAACATTGCTAGTCATCTCAACTACATCAATAAAACAGACTAAAATATTAAGTTAAACTTAGTATAATTTTAAAAATTGAGTTGAAACCTGATTAACTTATTAAAATAAGTGAAAGCAACATAAAAGTGCATGTTGTCTTGACATATTGTCATTACATTTTATACAGTGTACATCTGGGGTCACCAATCTCGGTCCTGGAGGTCCGGTGTCCCTGCTGGCTTTAGCTCTAACTTGCCTCACCACACCTGCCTGGCTGTTTCAAGTATACCTAAGTAAGACATTGATTAGCTTGTTCAGGTGTGTTTGATTAGAGGTTGGAGCTAAAATCTGCAGGACACTGGATCTCCAGGAACAAGTTTGGTGACCCCTGGTGTTGATGATCGATTACTGTTTCTTGATTATAATTACATGATGTTTGTATTAAGTAGATTCAAAGTATATCTGATAACCTTATCATAGCATTCAAAATTTAGCATGGTAAAGAAAGCAAGTTACTTCAAATAAGGCATCCTGCTGGTCATGAAAGTCTGCTGGTTGAGACTTGCCGGCCAGATCAGAGAATCCCGTTGTGGAAGTTCCCTCATTAATGGTGGGATCTATTACAGTCAGAGACCATGTTTCCTTTTACACACACACTTTTGCCTGGCAAGCACTTAAAGACCTTTAAATGCAGACCTTGGTGATACGATGCTCTTTGATAGTGTGAATTCTGCCTGTGTGTGTGTGTGTGTGTGTGTGTGTGTGTGAAATGAAAGCAGGGGAAATGAGAACAAGACTCAAATCTTTGTCCATAAATTCTGCTCGTCTTCTTCCCTAAGCTCTCCACCAATGAGAGAGGAGCTCATATAAATGATGCATGGAGGAGATCATATCGAGTGAATTCTCTCAGGAACCCTATGATCTTTACACAGACCACACACACACACACACACTCTCTCTCTTGATGAATGACATTTAATATATATGTATGAGTATCTGATGCTTTATGGCCAGAGAGAGAGATGTTCTCGTTTTGTTAGTCCATGAATTTTTCAATAGTAGTGTCATTCTTTTATTGCTGTTTTTATTCAAGGATGTACTATTGATGTGGTTAAGTGAACATTATGGGCTTATCACTATATGTTGCTTTGTTGTTTTGTAACTGAGATGCTGCAAGATGATATAACTCTCATTATATGGCTATATATGTTAAATATTTAATATGTTATAATATGTTGGTATATATATTGGTTTATATATATTAAAATTAAATATTTATGTAAAGTACATATAGGTTAAATATCATGTCAGTGTTAAGTGTATTTTTTTCTGGTAAATAGGGTAAAAAAAATCCTTTTAAATATAGATATGAATAAAACGATGACGTTTGGTGTATGGAAGTACTGCTTAAGTGGAGATTTATGACTTGGATCAATGATAAGAAAAAAAAATTGGAAAAAAAAAACTGCCTGAAAAAATCTGCAGATATAATTTGTTGAAGTGCTATAAAAGAAACACTTAAATTTAATTAATAGACAAAAACAACAGCCAAAAAGCCCATGAAAAGGTGTGAAAGCACACGTTTAAACTAAAATTAAAGCCAATCATTATTTAATTGCATGTAAATGTTAAATGCAGTTAATGAAGGTGTAAAGTACACTGAGATTTAATCAGTGAATCAAAAAAATTTGAAATTTTTGCATATGTTTTTTTCATTCATGTGAAGAATATTCAAACATTTAGTTTTTTTCTTTTATTAATGATATATTAATATTAAATTGTATTATTTAACTTGATGAAGTTATAGTATTTTCAAACTAATGTTTATTTTATGTTTATTTTTGGATGTGAAGTATCTTTAAATAACATCTTAATGACATTGTTATAATAATTTTTTTTATTTAAATGTAATAAATTTTTTATATTAATTTATTTTTATTTTAGTATTTTTATTTAACTAAGGTTTATATAATTGTATTGTCCTTTAATTATTAAAAGTATCTTTACATAAGATTTTAATAATATCATTTTAATTGAACTATTATTTATTTTTATTTAATAACATTTTTAATATTAATAAAATTTATTTTGTTACATTTTATTATATATATATATATATATATATATATATATATATATATATATATATATATA